CCGGTTTGAGCTTGTCATCCTTCGAGAGATACTTGCCGGACTCAACCCTGATCTCGAGGAGCTGGTGACAGAACTCCTCCTGGCTGGCATGGATCTTGCCCGACGGCTCCTGGGTGATCCACATGCCTGCCCACATGCACGGCGTGCTTCGCCATGGAGACCACCGCAGCATCTCCTTCAGCATGTTCTTCATGTCGAGGTAGAACTTGTTGTCACTGTCGCCTGCGATGCCAAAGTCGTCCACGTGCGAGCCGATGACCCCGCACACGGTGCCGTCCTGGTCCTGAATGATCCAGATCCACGGCTCGATGAGGACGCTCTTGCCTCCTGCTTCGTGGATCTTGTGGTCCACACACTTCCAGAAAACCCACGGCGCATTCGTGATCCCGTAGATCGCTGCCAGGACTCCCATGGACTCCTCCTCGTTGATCTGCAAGGCCTGCCGAAGCTCCTTCACGCCCTTCGTGTAGAGCTTCCTCCACTCCTCAGTGTGCCCGGCCTGCAGAAAGGCGGACTTCGCGTCGGCTAGCTCGAAGGTCCAGCCGTGGAAAGCAGCCATCTGGAGGAGTGCCAGCTTCCCTTTTCTTGAAATGGTTGGTGACGCCGTAGGAAGCACCCGATCTCCGAACTTGTCGCGACTGACAAGGTCCGGATGTGAGAAGCCCAACAGAATGATACGGGCCTTCGCCTTGAACTTCCCGTCCGGCGTGCTCACGCGGTGTGGGTCCGACTTGTCCGGTGGTTCAGGTGGCGTCAGAGGCTTCCAAGTCAGTAGCCACCTCATCTTGGTCAGCTTGTCCGCTGGAATATCTTTTCCATGATTGTAGTCAGCGTAAGCAGATGCAGCCCGGACTGTCGGTACTTCCAGATGTTCCGCCAGCTCCCGTGCCATTGCCTCTTGGAACAGTGGCTTCTCCTCGGGGCTCAGGCGGCCAAACGAAACCTCCACGCCCTTCTTGACCATGTTGTTGGCCACGCGGTTCAGCTGCTTCTCCAAGTACGCGCTCGCATCGAAGCAGAACTCCTCAAGGTCCGCCTCGATCTCGATCTTCATCAGATCCATCTCGGCCTCGTTATTCGGATCCTGCACGAAGTTGATAATGCCGATCTCGCTGGCTTCCACATGGTCGCTCGCCGCCTTGAAGAGGGCAGCGTGAGCAACTTCAGCTGAGGCTCTTGATGAAGATGATCTCCCAAAACGCGGTTGGAAAGCTTCAGTCGGTACAGGTGGCCACGACACAGTCGTCGTCTTGCCTCTCAATCTTGTTCGCTTAATCTGTGGTGGCTCTGGTGCTGAGTTGTCCTCGTCTACCTCCTGGTCGTCATCTGCCTCCGTGACGTCGTGGGGTTCCACGGCCGCATCGGGATTCTCGATCACCCTCGGCATGCCTTCAAGAGGTTGACGTGGTAGCATCCTCATGCCATCTGCCGTTGGGTAGGGCTCCCCGGCTATGTCGTCAAAGTCCTGGAGGTGCCTCCAGACGTCCTCAAGCGGACTGTTGAGGATGTCGTCCTTCTTCAGGTTGATCTGGACGATCTCCGACTGCGTGGCTGGCCGCAGTTGCTCAGCCGCGCAGCGCCAGCATCGGTTGCCCATGATGACCCAGATCACGCCGTCCTTGTTGCCGGTCTGGACCGCCGGCTCGGAGAACAAGACCCGGCCCGGTCCGATGAACAAGCCGTCCGTGAAGAAGTCCTGTCCGGAAAGCTTTCGCTCTCCTGTCGCAGCGTACGACCGCCAGACACAGACCCAGTCGCCTCGTTTATATTCATGTCGAGGTCGTGGGGCTGAGTTCTTAAGCTCTGAGATCTTCCTGGACGCCTTCTCCTTCAGGTAGGTTGCCTCTGCATCCGCTCGCACCCGCTCGATCTCGAAGAAGTCGGACTTCAACTTGCCAGTAGCTGCGTTGTGCGCCAAGATAGGGTCCCCGGTCGGAGAAAACCCGAAAGCCCACTGCATCGGCGTGTAGCCCTTGATGTTGTCCATGTTGTTGGCCGCCGCAATCGAGATGTAAAACACGGTCTCGGGACTCAGCTTGGGGTATTGTAGGCGAAGCTTCCTCATTACCTGCTTGACGGTCGAGATGCGGCGCTCGATGTCGCCAGCCATCCAATGTGCTCCTCCTGGTTTCGCTGAGACGCCGATGCCGGCCAACTGGCAGTTGTCTTTAAACTCGCCGCCCACAAAAGAGGTCTGGGGATCGACGAAAACCCACCTTGGCTTGGGATAGTGTTGAAGGTAGGCTCTGGCAAACGTCGTGAACAGCGTAGCTGAAGAATCTGTGCCCTTGTCCTTGAGGCCGATCTTCGCAGTGATGTCCCCGCACATCAGGCCGGTGGCGACCTCTGCGATGAGGAGAAACGTGGCCTTCACATTCAAATCCGGGAACGTCAGGTCGGACACGTCCATGACGGCTGCCTGCCAAGGTGCCATGGGGATATCGAGGCTCGCCTTGACCTTGTGGTTGAGGCCGTGCTTGACCAGGTCGCATGCCTCGCAGCGAAGGTTGATCGCTTCTTCGATGATCCAGCGTGGGCACTGCCGCTTCTTGCACCAGTAAGCCAAGTACTCGTTCCCTGGGTGCCCTGCAGCCTTGTGGATCCTGCTCAACATCGCACGCACCTGTTCCCTTTCGAGATCCGTGGGCTCAGCGACGTAGATGCTCCCGGTGTCCCGCTCCATCAGGTAGGCATTCTCGAGGTCTAGGACAGCAGGGTTCTCCAGGGCCATGTTGAGGTCGATCGGGGTCTGGAGTTGAGCATGCCACAGCCGGGCGATTGCCTTGCACATCGCCTGCGGGTAGTAGGCTGTGGCTGCAGTGTGCAGCTTCCCGCTGATGACTCGGTGGCCGTGTGAGTGGTCACACACGGTCGCGACCTTGGAGAACTCCGGGTCGGTGGTCATGATCCTCCAGCCCTTCTCGACGAGCTCGTTAGTGTTGTAGTCCCTGAGGCCGTACATGCACCCGTCGATCCGATCTTCGAAAACGTGTCGTCCCCGACGCCTCAACTCCATACGAAGAAAATTTAGCTCGGGAATCTTCCAGCCTTGACACCTGTGAGGCCACTCGAAGTAGACCTCGCCTCCGTTGTCAACAATCTTTAGCAACAGGAGAACTCCATACTTCACACGTCGTCGGTCTCGAAGTCGGTCTTTCTCTAGGCGTGCACGTGCCTCTGGGGTCTTGTAGTTGAAGTTCGTGAGCGAAGTCCATAGCGTGCATGGTAGCGATATCCAAGCCCGCTTCGGCATCACCTCGTCCAGTTTCTTGCTAGCGGCCTCGAAGCCCGCCATCGTGCTGAGGTTGTAGCCGTTCTCGATGCTGATCCTCTCCATGCTGAGGCCGATGTTGGTGCACTCGTCGGTCAGCGTGCTGTTGGGATGGCAGCAGATCTCCACCGCCTCGGTGATCGTACCCACGGTCATGGCCAAGGCCAGTCCTGCGAGTAATGACCTCCGGCGTCCGGCCGCCAGAAGCTGCCTCGGCACCCGGCTCAGACTGGCCCGGGTACTGGTTCCGCCATCTGGGCCTTGCGCCTGGGGTTCGCTGCCCCCAACATCTCCAGCAGCGCGTCCGGCGCGTGGCGGATCTCGGTCCCGGGAAGCCTCCGGAGAGAGGTGGCGATGTTGATCATCGCGGTCACCTGCTCGTGATTGGCCGTCTCCCACAGGTTGCAGTGCCGCGCCAACTCCAGGCCGGACTCCACCAATTTCGGATGCTGCATGCTGAGGTTCGTCATCGGCGCCTTCGCCGTCGGGACGTAGAGCAACCTCAGCCCGCACCGATAGCATGTCCTGGTCTGGCCCCACTGGTTGTTGACCGTGAAGTACTTGCGATGCGTCTTGCCACACGGTCCCCGTGTGGTCCTCGGGTCGCGGGGGTCCACCTGCAGTGCGAACGCCGGGTCCAGCTCCATCTGCTTCTCCCTCTTGCGACCCCGGTGCGTGTTGCCCGGATCTTTCTCCTTGACCTTGCCTCCGAGGTGACGTACTCCATCTTCTGACCGTTGAAGACGAACTCCCGCTTGACCTGGGTCGTAGGTCCGGAGCTCGCTGCCGCCGAAGGTGACTTTACCTCCGTGCCCTCCTCCTTCTTGTCGGCATCTATGTCGACAGGTACCCATTCGTCCTTGCCCTCCATGGAAACGCGCTGGCTGAAGCGCCGGCTTGCGGATTGCCGAAAATCGCTCTGAGCGAGTTCCAGAGCCAAAAGACGGCGGAGGAGGGGATGACCATGATGGAGCTGCTCTTCCTGTTATGGTTGATGGAGGTGATGTTGCTGTTATCACTGATGGTGTTGTCGTAATAGCCGTATATACTGATGATGGTGTCGTTCTCATCTGAGATGATGCTGATAATGTCGTTCTTGTTTGAGATGATGCTGATAAAGTCGTTCTTGTCCGAGATGATGCTGATGGTGTCGTTCTTGTCTGAGATGATGCTAATGGTGGTGATGTTGTCTTTGTCATCGACCATCTCTGAAACGCCCTTGCAAGACCCTCGGTGTTTTCCTCGGTCGGGTTTAAAATCTCGGAAACGTGCTTCACCAGATCGAGGATGCAATGGCCCTTGACTGGAGTCTTGCGAAGCTGCACCAGTTGGCCCCTGATCGCAGCCTCCCCGGTTCGGAAATTCACGATTGCCGGCCACGACTCCAGAGCAGTCGTTCCCGACAAAACGAGAGGCACGCCAGGACTGAGAGCGAAGATGCCCAGAACGAAGCCCGGCTCGAACTCGACCGAAACCTTATACAGTGCCTTGCCCCACTTATTGTCTCCAAAACGAAACCACGGTCTTTCATTTTTGTTGATCTCGATCCTGGCCTGGGGGTTCGCAGCCGCAACGGCGGCAACCAGGGCCTGGACTGCGCGCTCGCCTCCGGCGGACGCGGAAGCCCCGCAATCAACCATGGCCTCAGAAGGGGCGAGGCCGCTGTCGTTCTGCTCTGCCTGGTACAGACCCTGGAGCTCGTCGAGCCCGTGCGTGATCGTGTGGAACTCCAGGTAGTTCGCATTCTTGCCCTTCTGGTCGTGGTCCCTGTCGCGGTACTTGCTACCCTTGCCGCTCTTGCCGCCCTTGCTGCCCTTCGGGCCTCGACCCGTGAACGGCGGTCTCGAGGGCTGCTGGTGCGGCCACGACGGAGGAGGGCGGCTCTTCCCTCCTGGGCCCGATGATGGCTTGCCAAATCCTCGATCTTTGTGAGCGGCGGCCACTGCTCGTCTGGCTTGAACTAGAGTGCGTGACGCCTCTGCCGCCATCGCCTGGGCCGCCTCGAGCTCCTCATTGATGTGGTTGAGATCCTCATCCATGGCCTCGGACCCTTCTGGCTCTGAGGCTAGCTGCGGCTCCTCCTCGACATCGTAGTCGCCCTCGTCCTCGTGGTGGTCGTACCCTTCGTTCTCCCACGCCTGGACTGCCGCTGCGTAGCCATCGTACCAGTCAGGTCCGTGTACGTCATCAAACTCCGCAATGAGGGCCGACTGCTGGCCCGACTCCGGGCCGTACCGAGGCATAGCCCTCGGTCCGAAGTCCCGCTGCACCAGCGCCTTGTCCTCCCATCGCTCCTTCAAAGCCTTGGAGACTGCATCGAAATCCAAGCGGTTCTGCGTGACCACGCGGACGTCCTGCTTCTCCTTCTCGGTGAAATCCATCGCCTCGAGCAGGAAGAAACCGCGGAGGACCTTCAGGACTCCGGAAGCGTGGCCGAAGAACGTAGAGCCCACTGCCATCGTTTCCGAAACCTTGAGCTTGCTCGCCATGGATTCTTGTCGGTGAAAACGATCCGTTCGAGAGCCCTGCGAGCGAGACGTAGTAGAGTGTCGTTCATACTCATCTGCTTCTTCTGCTTCCTCGGCAGGGGCGTCATCTGCTGCCAAGGTCGTCGGTGCGTCGGGGTTGGCTTCCCAGGTGTCCCAACACCTCTGGCAGTGCCATTGTCCACGTCCAGCTGCGCCTCGGTCTCTCTCGAAGTAGCCGAAGCACTCCTGGCACTGCTTGTACTTGTCGTTGTCGCCCATCTCCTGGAGTAGGCGCTCCAGTGCTTGGACCATCTCCGAGTAGTAATCCTGCTCCCGGATCAGGAGCGCGCCCGCTGTCTCGCCTTTGCGCCGCTTGAAGTCCTTGTAGTAGTGCTTGATCTTGTGGGCCGCGTCCGGGATAGGAAGCTTTCCCAGTGGACTGTTCCTCAGGTCGTCCAGAAGGAGGAGGTGGCCGTTCGGATTCTCATATCTGTCTGGATCCAGGGTGGTCGCAAACGTCCTTATAGCTATCGTTTTGCTCTGCAGCATGCGCCCGATGATCCTGTTCGCCGCAAGGTCCCTATCCTGCCGCTTCAGCGTGCGAGGGAACCACTTCACTGCCGTCTCGAAGTGTCGCCAACGTCCTGGGTTGCCGTCCCATTCTGGGATGGCATCCTTTGCTTTCTTGTCGTCCCGCTCCATGGTGTTCTGGTCCCTTGGGGAGTGCCAGAACTCGTCCGTGGATCTAGCTCCGCAATACCAATGTCGTGATTACCGTCGACGATGTTGTGCTGTGCTGCGCTCGTCCGTCGAGCATGATGGCGCCAGCCCGTGCTGGCGAGCGTGTCTGCCGCGCTCTCTGCACAAAAGAGGGGGCCCCCTCCTCGATCCCATACAGCCGCGGAGGCGGCGGCAAGAGAGAGAGAGGAAGGAGAGGTTGACACAAGGCTTCGCTCGAGTCGCCTCGGCTCGACAATGATGATGATGATTCTGATGATGATGATGATGATGATGATGATGATTCTGGATGATGATGATGATGATGATGCTGATGCTGATGCTGATGATGCTGATGATGATGACGATGATGATGACGATGATGGAGGAGGGGGAGGAAAGGAGGTTGAGGTGGTGGAGGAGGAGAAAGCGGTTGAGGAGGAGGAGGAGGAGGATCAGAGGAGGAGGAGGAGGAGGAGGAGGAGGAGGAGAGGAGGAGGGAAGGAGGAGGGAGAGAGGAGGAGAAGAGCGGAGGAGAGAGGAGAGAGGATGAGGAGGAAAGAGGAGACAGGATAGAGGAGGGGGGGGGGATGAGGAGGCGGAGGAGGAAGAGGAGGAGAAGGAGGAGGAGGAGGAGGAGGAGGAGGGGGAGATGGTGAGGAGGAGGAGGAGGAGGACTGGAGAGGCGGAGGTGGAGGAGGAGGTGGAGGAGGGGAGGAGGAGGAGGACGAGGTGGAGGAGGAGGGGGAGGAGGAGGAGAAGGAAGGAGCAGGCGGAGGAGGGAGCAGGAGGAGGAGGTGGAGGAGAGGGCGTGAGGAGGAGGAGGGGAAAGGAGGAATGGAGGATAAGGAGGAATGGAGGAAAGGAGAATGGGAGAGGAATGGGTGGAGTATGAGAATGGATGGAGGGAGTATGATTAGGTGGAAAGGGAGGGAATGGAGGAGGACATGGGGGAGGAATGATGGAGGAATGATGGGATGGAGGAGAATGTAGGTGGAATGGAGGTGGAGGAGGAGGAGGAGGAATGGATGAGGAATGAGGAATGGAGGAATGGATGATATGGTCTAATGGAGGGGCTCATGAGAGGAGGTGGAGGATGAGAAGAGGAGGTGGAGGAGGAGGAGGAGGAGGTGGAGGAGGAGGAGGAGGAGGAGGAGGAGAGAGGAGGAGAGGGAGGAGGAGGAGGAACACTGGTGGAATGGAGGAATGGTCAATGGAGGGTGATAGAGGATGAGAGTGGATGAGGAGGAGGAGAAGGGAGGAGCATGAGGAGAAAGGAGGAGTGAGGAGGAGAGGAGGAGGATGGAGGGGTAGGAGGAGGAGCAGGAGGAGGAGGACGAAGAGGAGCAGGAGGAAGAATGGAGTAATGGAGGAATGGAGGAGAAATGGACAGGAAGAGGAGGAGAAGGAGGAGGAGGAGGAGAAATGGAGGAGGAGTGGATTAGAGAGTTCGAGGTAGGACGTGTGTGGAGGAGAGAAGTGGAGGAGGATGAGGAGGAGGCGGAGGAGGAGAAGAACTGGAGGATTGAGGAAGGAGGAGGAGGGGAGGGGAGGAGGAGAGGAGGAGGAGGAGAAGGTGGAGCCAGGAGGAGGAGGAGGATGTAGGAGGAGGTAGCGACTGGAAGGAATAAGGGAGGTGGGCAAGCTGGCTGCAGTTGAGAAGGGTGGGGAGGGAGGTGGAGGCAGAGGATTATGGAAGATAGAGACGTAGGGGGAGGAGCACGATGCAGACTGAGAGAAGGGGAGGAGGAGGAGAGGGAGGACTGGTCGGAGAAGGAGAGAGGAGACGAGAGGAGGAGGATGAGGAGGAGGAGGTGAGGATGAGGAGGAGGAGTGAGGGAGGAGGAGGAGGAGAGAGGAGGAAGGAGGAGGAAGAAAGATGACGAGGAGGAGGAGGAGGTAGGAAGAGGAGGAGGAGGAGGTGGAGAGAAGTAGATGCGAGGTGGAGGAGAGGAGGAGGAGGAGGAGGAGAGGAGGAGGAGGAGGAGGAGGAGGAAGAAGAGAGGAGGAGTAGGTTGGAGCAGCAGCAGCAGCAGCAGCAGCAGCAGCAGCAGCAGCAGCAGGATGAGTCCCCAGACTATTTGTGGGACTATTCTTGCAGGGTTTTTGGGATGCCTGTAGGAGGACGTGCCCGAGCTAAGGCCAGCCGGGCGCATCCGCTCAGCCAGCCAGGCGACGGCGGCACTCTTTGGGCCTCGCTGCCGCGCCCCGGCGCCGCAGCGGCCCAGGCCGGCGCCGCGGCAGCAGCAGCACCCCACGTCGCTGGGAGCCGGCGGTGCTGCTGCATGGCGCGAGGACGCCGCCCGCGGGGCCGCCGCCGAGGTGGTGCGCGGCGCCGCGCGCGTCTCGCCACGCCCTGCTTGCAGCGTGCGCCGCGACATCCCGCGCCCCGTCGCCGCAGGGAGCGCCGGTCGGTGGCACACCGCGCTGCGACGCGCGGCCAAAAAACAGACGACACCACCCCACGCTGCGGCCCTCCATGTTGCGCTACGGCCCATCGGCGGCCGCAGCGTCTACCGTGCAAAAGCCCGCGCCGGACGTCCTGGTATGCGCTGCGGCCCGTGGGGCCGCAGGTGGGGTGGTGCCGCTTGTTTTCTGGTCCAGGCGTCCCGTGGCCGTGGCGCCCGCGCGTCGCCCCCCCGAGGCCGGCTTCGAGGCTGGGCGCGGCGGGCTCCGGGCGCTCCACGAGAGCTCGCCAGCGGCGCCCCGCGATGCGGCGGGGGAGGCCGCGAGGGCGGCCCGCTGGGCCTGCTGCCGTGGCGTGGCGCAGGGAAGCCGGCACGCCCTCCGGGCTGCTCCGCTGCCCCTGGGGCAGCCGTGCAGCGGGCCGCAGCCATCTGTCGTTCATCGGCCATCCATCGCCATCGAGGAGGCGAAGGAGGAGGAGGGGGGGGGGAAGGAGGGCAGCACGAGGGAGGAGGAGGAGGAGGAGGAGGAGGAGGATGGAGGATGAGGAGGCGGAGGAGGAGGAGGAGGAAGAGGAGGAGGAGGAGGAGGAGGAGGAGGAGGAGGAGGAGGAGGAGGAGGAGGAGATGAGAGGAGGAGAGGAGGAGGAGGTAGGAGGAGGAGGGAGGAGGAGGAGGAGAGGAGGAGGAGGCGGAGGAGGGAGGAGGAGGAGGGAGGAGAGGAGGAGGAGGAGGAGAGGAAGGAGGAGGTGAGGAGGAGGAGGAGGAGGAGGAGGAGGAGGAGGAGGAGGAGGAGGAGGAGGAGGAGGAGGAGGAGGAGGAGGAGGAGGAGGACGGCGGAGGAGGAGGAGGAGGGAGGAGGAGGAGGAGGAGGAGGAGAGGAGGAGGAGGAGGAAGAAGAGAGAAGATGAGGAGGAGGAGGAGGAGGAGGAGGAGCAGCAGCAGCAGCAGCAGCAGCAGCAGCGCAGCAGCAGCAGCAGCAGCAGCAGCAGCAGCAGCAGCAGCAGCAGCGGGAGCATAATGGCAACGTGCAGGACGAGGGACGGGACGAGGAACCACGGCTGCGTCCATGTGGAGCCATCGGTTTCGCAGCACCCCTGTTCGAGGTATCCTTTCCCGTTCCTGAGCTTTTCGGCAACGGAGACCCGCGGGTCTTCGCGTTGCGCGTCGGGACCCTCAAAGACAACGTTGTCCTCGGAAACCACCTTCGGGTTCGCGCCGGCCTCCGTTTTATTGGCCGAACTCCTCCTCAGCGTGTATGACCGTGCGCTCGCCGAAGAAGATCGCTCCCGGCCCTCGGCCAGTGCCGGGACCTCGCCGCTCAAATCTTCAGCGACGTCACCTTGCTGCTGCGGAGGAGGAGGAGGAGGAGGAGGAGGAGGAGGAGGAGGAGGAGGAGAGAAGGAGGAGGAGGAGGAGGAGGAGGGGGGGACGAGGGTCGGAGGCGGGCACAGGCAGGCTCTGGTGCCGCCTCAGATCCTGGCCCCAGAGGGCCCCGGAGGGCCTCTCCGATCCAGGGATCCAGGGCGAAACTCATCAAGGGCCTCCCGTCAAGCAGTGGCGAAGCGTCCTGGCTCGCCTATAGCCCTACCAAACAATGTTCTAAGAACCTGTTGTGGTTTCCACGAAATGCTCTCAGGACAGTTCTGGCTGGGACTGTCTTGTTTTAACACATCGGGTTCATGTTCTAAGAACATTGTTTTGTTCTTAGAACATGTTTGGACCTAAGCAAATCTCGTGGTAGGACTATATGAATGTCGGGACGATCGGTCCCTGCTCAATCCCTGGGTCGATACCCCGATCCTTGGATGCCTCTCTCCTCGAGCCTCGAGGGCCGAGGGCAAAACTCAGCAACGGGGGCGCCGCGGATGCACCGAGGCCGGGAGCATGTTTGGCTCAGAGACAGGGCTGGGTGCTTCCACGGGGGTCCTCCCGCGGATGACCTCGGCCTGGCCAAGGATCTGAAACTAATTTGTTCTTTTGTGGAGGTTCCTTCCAGCAAGATGTTGACTGTAGAGGGAGGGCCAGGACGGGGACCAGGACGAGGAGGAGGAGGAGGAGGAGGAGGAGGAGGAGGAGGAGGAGGAGGAGGAGGGGGAGGAGAAGGAGGAGGAGGAGAAGGAGGAATATGTGGTAAAGTGCCCCCTCCACGCGCCTGGAGGAACGCGTCATGCAGCGCAATTCCAGTGGTGCCCTCCACTGCCGGATGGCTCGATTGCTTGTGTCGACTGTGGCCGAGTTTATTGCAGCCCGCAGTCAAACAATCGGGTCGTCCTGTCGTGCAGCCCCCCTCCAGAGTCTGCAGGACGAGGACGGCAAGGACGGCGAGGGCGAGGGCAAGGGCGCAGGAGGACGAGGAGCACCAGCGCGAGGACGGGGAGGAGCGGCAGCGGCAGGACGCTGGCGAGCGCCGGGGCGGCGGCGGCGCGGGCGCGCTGGCGAGCGCGGCGGCGGCGAGCGCGGCGGCGACGAGCGCGGCGGCGGCGAGCGCGAGCATGGCGGCGGTTAGAGCGCGGGCTGGCCCGGCCCGCCGCGCGCCCCGTTCGGCGCTGCCCCGAGGCGTGTGTGGCGCGCAGGGCGGGCCCTCGCCGGAGGGTGCCGGCCCGCGCGCGGCGCGGCGGGTGCCGGCCGTTTGCCGCCCGGCGCGGGGGCTGCGGCGCCTGCTCGAGTGGAGCTTGCAGGGAGCCTGGACGGCCTCCTCCTCCCCCCCCACCCCTAACATCCTCCACTCACATCTCCTCCTGCTCCTCTCCTCCTCCATCCTCCCTCCTCCTCCTTCCTCCTCTCATCGTCCTCCTCTTGTTCCTCCTCCTGTTCCTCCTCCCTCCCTCCTCCTCCTCCTCCTCCTCCTCCTCCTCCTCCTCCTCATCCCTCCCCTTGTCTCCGCAGCGATCTCCATCAGCTCAAGCCGCGGTGCGCAGCTGAGGCGGCGCCGCGCCGCCTCCCCCCGCGGCGGCGCGTGGGCGCCGGCCCGCCGCCGCAGTCATGGGCGGCCCCGGCGAGGCCGCGCGCAGCGGGTCCGAGGCCACGGCCGCCGCCCTGGATAACTGGGGTGGGGGAGGAGGAGCACGCGGCGCGGCGGCGCGACCGACGCGGCCGCGATCGACGCGGCCGCGACCGACGCGGCCGCGGTGGCGCTGTCCGCTGGGTACTCCCCAGCGGGCACTTCAGTGCGAGCGGGCGACTTGGGCGGGCGCGGTATCATGGCGACGCCGACAGCGGTAAACACGATGATGAGAGTAGCGATTCGGGTGACGATGGTGGCGATGACAACGGCAAGGCCAATGACGGCGCCGATGTTGATCGCGCCCGCCGATGAAGATGACGATGTCCTCGCGTCAGTGATGAAGGTTTTGGAAAGACTTCGACATGCGTGCGCGGCCAACGCGCGCGAATAGCCCGCGTGGTTTTATTTGACAGGGACCGTGCCCCCCCCCAGCAAGCGCGCAAGGGCGGTCGGATGAGTTTGACATGCGGCGCAATAGGCCCGTTTGGCAGAATGTGGTGACAACCTTGAAGGATTCGCAAAGACGCGCGCGCACGCCTTTTTCGTTTTTGAAAACTCATGTTGCAAAGCCGTGCGTGTTATATAAGTGTTCGGGCCATTCGGTTTTGAAGCCCGTACGGAACCTCAGGCGTTTGAGAGATTTCGGCATGCGCGCCAGCTGAAATTTCGCTCGAATTCGCGACCTGCGGGATGCTGCGGTCGGCGCTTCGGGGGCACGCGCCGAGGTCGGCCAGACCTGGACCCCCCGGAGGAGCCCCCCAGAGCCCTCGTGCTCCCCGCTCTCGCCTCGGCGAACAGCGCCGGCGTTGAGAGTTTCTGCCCTCGCATATCTGTGTATCAGTATATGTGTATGTACACGCATGTGTGTATATATTTATGTATATATATATATATATATATATATAATATATATATATATGTATATGTACATCCATGTTTCATTTTATCTAGATGTAAGTAGGATATATATATATACAGAGAGAGAGAGAGAGAGAGAGAGAGAGACATCAAGGACGGCCCTGACTACGTGCTCCCCAAGCCGTTGTGGAAATCCTTCGGGGAACACGTGGGGGAGAAGAGCAGGAGGAGAGGGAGGAAACAGGAGGAGGAGGAGGAGGAGGCCTCTTGGGAGCATCTTGGGGTACCCTTGGGGCCTCCTGGGGGCTTCCTGGGGGCCTCTGGGAGGCCTCTTTGGGGGTTCCGCGGGCAACTTGGAGGCATTTGGAGGGTCCTTAGGAGGCTCCTTGGGCGTCTGAAGGCGTTCCTAGTCCGTCTGACGCCGTCGGGCGCCGTCTTGGAAGCCTCTCAGGGCCAACTTGGGGCCTTCTTGGGGCGCTTCAGGGCCGTCTTGGAGGCCATCCTGGGCATCTTGGAGGTCTCCTGGGCCGTCTTAGGATCCTCTCGGGGCCGTCTTAGGGGCGTCTTGGGCCGCCAGGGGGCTATGTCGGAGGCCTCTTGGGGGCGCTCTTGGATTCATCTTGGTGGCCTCTGGGGCCGTCCTGGCCCAAATCTTCTAAACACATCAGCGCTACAATGATTCTGGCTGCTTCGGGGCTTCCTGGAGGTTTTCTTGGAGGCCTCTTGGGCCATCTTGAGGCCACCTCAGGGGCAGCTCGGCCCGTCTTACAGACATCCTGTGGCCATCTTGGGTTCTCTTGGGGCCATCGTAGCCGTCTTGGAGACCATATTCGCCGTCTTGGAGGCCACGACCTGGGAAGTGTATGGGTCCTCGTGGAGGCGATCTGTTTTGGACGTTGAGGTCTTTACGCGTCCTTGCGCATCCTTCGAGGTGGCCGGCGGGCTGGGCCGAAGGCCCCAGGGAATTTTTAAAAGAAGCGGACAATACTCATAAGATTTGGTTCGCCGTGCACCCCGGTGGCAAGCCAACAGGGGGCGGCGGCGAAGACATCTGCGGCGAATCACCGCCGCCCCCTGCCTTTGGGATACGCCTATGTGGCCAAACGGTTTGGCAAAGTTTGGCCACGCTATTGGACCATGCGTTCCCCCAACCGTTGTCGAATCTCTTCAGGGAACACGCGGGGGAAGAGGAGGACGTGGAGAGGAAGGAGAAATTCTAGACGCTTCGCGTATCCCCACCAGCCCGTCCAGAAACGACGCCCAGGCGAGTAGAGGGTCGTCCTGAGGGGCTTTTCGGCGTCTTGGGTGCCTCGGGGGGGCCTCTGTGGGCCGTTCGGAATCCTCTTTGGGGCCTCCTGGGGGCCTCTTGGGGCCTCTTGGGGCCATCTTGGGGCCTCTGGGAGCACCTTGGGTGCCTCTGGGGGGTCTCTTGGGGCCTCTTGGGGGTCTCTTGGGGGCCTCCTGGGGGCCTCTCTTGGGGTCGTCTTGGGGGCCTCCTGAGTCGTCATGGAACCATCTTGTCTTGGGGGCAATATTAGGGGCCTCTTGGGCTGTCAGAAAGCCGTGTTGACGCAAATGCCACACTTTTTCCGAACAAAGAAAATAAGGAAGCTCAATGATTTTGGCATCTCTAGGCCTTCCTGGAAGAACCTCTGGGAGGCCTCTAGGGCCGTCTCAGATGCCTCCTGAGGCATCTTGGAACCATCTTGGATGCCACTTTTGTGGCTATCTTGCGCTCTATTGGGGCCACCTTGCCCGTCTTGGAGGCATCTTGGAAGCCATCATGGGCCATCTTGGCCGTTTCGGAGACGATGTGGCCTCTGGAGGCCGAATTTGGGAAGCTTTTCGGGTGGCCGGCGGGCTGGGCCGAGGGCCCAGGATCTCAGACATCTAGCACGTCGTGCACCCATGTGGCATTCCAACAGGTCGCGGCGGATGACGGGAAGAGCGGGGTACGAGCGAGAGACGTTTCGCAGGGGGCGAAGCCCTTGTAGGGGGGGGTCTGGGGGAGGGGGCTAGCGGGGGATCCTCGTATTTTTGTCGAGTGACGCGGCCCAAGGGCTCCAAGAGGGCCCCAAAACGGCTTCAGAGGGCTCCAAGACGGCCCCAAGAGAGCTTCAGATGGCCTCCACGGTCCAAGAGAGTCTCGAGACGGCTCCAGAGGCCCTCAAGAAGGCACCCGAGGGGGCCTCGGGAGGTCAGAAACATAGATTTCTCTAGAGTTTTTGCATTTTCAGTCCCAGAAGGGCCTCAGACGGCCCAAGATGCCCCAAAGATCGTTCCAAGACGGCCCCAGAGGCGCCCTAAAGGGGCCCAAAACTGTCCAAGAGGGCCCCCCAGACGGGCACAAGACGGCCCAAGAGGCCCCGAAGATCGTCCCAAGACGGCCCCAGGGGCCCCCCCAAAGAAGCCGAAAATGGTCCAAGAGGGCCCCCAGACGGCCCAAGAGGGCTCCAAGACGACCCAAGAGGGCCCCCAGACGGCCCCAAGAGAGCCCCAAGAGGGCCCCAAGAGAGCCCCAAGAGGGCCCCAGGAGGAGGGGGGGGAGGAGGAGGAGGAGGAGGAGGAGGAGGAGGAGGAGGAGGAGGAGGAGGAGGAGGAGGAGGAGAGGAGGAGGAGGAGGAGGAGGAGGAGGAGACGAGGAGGAGGACAAAGACCAAGGAGGAGGATGAGGAGGTCGGAGGAGTAGGAGTAGGAGAAGGGAGGAGAGGAGGAGGAGGGAGGAGGAGGAGGAGGAGGAAGAGAAGAGAGGAGGAGGAGGAGGAGGAGGAGGAGGAGGAGGAGCAGGAGGAGGACGAGGAGGAGAAGGAGGAGGAGGAGGATAAAAAGGGACGAGGAGGAGGAGGACGAGGAGGAGGCAGAGGAGGAGAAGGAGGAGGATGACACTAATCATGATAACAATGTTATTTTTATTACTGATGATAATACGAGGGGGAGGAGGAGAAGGATGAGGAAGAGGAGGAGGAGGAGGAGGAGCAAAGCTCCCAACTGAGAGCGTCGACGTAGCACGCGCTTGCCAGCAATGCTCCCAAGAACGAGCGGTGACGCAAGAAGCTCTTACCACCAAGGCTCCCAAGAGCGAACGGCAACGTAAGCATCTCTGGGCACGAGGACTCTGAACAGAGAGCGGTGACGCAACAAGTTTTTCCCGGCAAGGCTCCCAACAGAGAGCGGTGACGTAACACGCGCTTGCCAGCAAAGCTCCCAAGAACGAGCGGTGACGCAAGAAGCTCTTACCACCAAGGCTCCCAGAGCGAAGGGTGCCATGAGCCATCTCGGGCATGTTGCTGAAGCGCTCTCGCCGTTCCCGTGCAGGCCCAGGTAACGGAAAGAGCGAGGTACGAGCGATGACGTTGTGTTTTGGGCGAAGCCCCGAAGGGGGGGGTCCAGGGGGCGGGGGGGGGGGGGCGAACGGCGAGCGGATTGGTTTAATGGCCGTTTGCATGTTTTTTGCATTCCCCCCCAAGGCGGCCCGAGAGCGCTCCAAGAGAGCCCAAGACCGCCCAAGACGGCCCAAGAGGCCCCCAAGAGGCCCTCAAAGGGCGCCCAGGGGGCGTCACAAGAGGGCCCCAAGAGGCCAACATCATTGATTTTCCGAGGAAAACGTATATTTTTAGCATATAAGGCTTTTCGGCTTTCACGGCGTTGACGACGGCCAGAGAGGCCCCCAAGACCGCCCCACGACGGCCAAAGAGGCTCCCAAGAGGCCCCCAAAACGGCCCAAGAGGGCGCCAAGACGGCCCAAGAGGGCTCCAAGACGGCCCCAAGAGGGGGACCACGAAACGAAAAGTCTAACCTTTCGCCCCAGGAAGCTCCCAGGAGGCCCTAAGAGCCCCCCAAGACGGCCCCAAGAGGCCCCCAAGAGGCGTCCCACGAGGCCACCAGGATGCCAAAATCATTGAACTTCCTTTAGGAAAACGTGCATTTTTAGCATGTAAGGCTTTTCGGCTTTCACGGGGTTGACGACGGCCAAAGAGGCCCCCAAGACCGCCCTAAGACGGCCCACGAGGCTCTCAAGAGGCGCCCAAAACGGCCCAAGAGGGCGCCAAGACGGTCCAAGAGGCGCCCAAGACGGCCCAAGAGGGCCCCAAGACGGCCCCAAGAGGGGGACCACGAACCGAAAAGTCTAGCCTTTCGCCCCAAGAAGCTCCCAGGAGGCCCCAGGAGCCCCCGAAGAATCCCCAAGAGGCCCCCAAGAGGCCCCCGAGAGGCCCCCAAGAGGGCTCCAAAAGGGCCCCAATAGGACTCCGAAGAAGGCCCGGAGACGCCAAATAAAGAGCGATCGGTAACGCAAAAAGCTCTTCACACTAAGGCTCCCAAGAGCGAACGGTGACGTAAACAAGCTGATAAGACCAAGGCTCCCAGCAGAGAGCGGTGACGCAACAAGTTCCTGACACCAAGGCCCAGCCAAGGCTCAGGAACGGGCGGCAACGCAACAATCTCTGAACACCAAGGCTCCCAAGAGCGAGGGGTGACGTAACGAGCTCTCAACGCCAAGGCTCCCGGTACGAACGGTGGTGTGAGTAATTTCGGGTTTCTGTTTCTGAAGCGCTCTTTCCGTTTCTGTGCCGGGCCAGGTCTAGTTGCCTTCGGCCCATGCCGCCTCCGTGCCTGGGTTGTCGGCCAGAGGCCCCTTGGATGCTTGTGAGGATCTATTGGAGGCGGTTTTGGGGGAGTTTTGGGGCGTCTCCGGGGCTTCCTGGGGGCTTCTTGGGGCCTGATGTTGGCTTCTTGTGGGCCTCTTGGAGCCTCTTGGGGGCACCTCATGGGGACTCTGGGGGAATCTTGGGGCCATCTTTGGGCGGAGGCCTCAAAATGTCAGTTCATGTTCCCCCTCTTGGGCCCCTCTTCTGGTTGTCTTGGGGCCTGTTGAGCCCCTCTTGTGGGGTCTTGGGCCGTTCTTGGGAGCCTCTTGGGCCGTCTTGGACCCTCTGAAGACCAGAAAGATTGTAATACTAGAACCCTACGAGCGCAACTGGATTTTGACGGTATGGGCCTCGTGGGCCGCCCTACAGGGCCTCCAAGACGGCCCAGCTGCGGGCCTCTTACAGTAGATGTGCAGTACTTAAGAGAGATAAAACTCGAAGGGTCCTGATGACACTACGACCTGGATGGGTGTTGGGGCCGGCTGCGGGTCGGAAGGGAGTCGGTTGCGGGTAGATGGAGGGTCGACGTGTCGCTTGAGGCCGGAGCGACGCCGCGCGAACCGCTGGGATGAGGGACGGGGCAACAGCGTGTTCTGCCTGTGAGCGCCCGCTCTTGCCAGTCTCCTCTCCTTGTCCGCTGCCTCCTCGGCCCAGGTGTTGACACACGCAGGGCTCCCCTCGCCAGAGGAGAGCGAGAACACGCACTGTCTCCATCCCCAGACATCCGACGTCTCGTTTTCTTCGAGAACGGCCCCCGACCTCCCGACCACTTCCCAGGGACCAGTTTTTCATCCCGAGTCGTTTTTCGACGGTCCCGAGGCCCGGCAACGGCCCCGAGAGGCCAAACATTGCGAAAAACCTCCGTCTCGGATGTTTTCGAGACGCCCGATGTCCGGGTCCTGCAGATCACTGGTTGGGCTGACTCTCGGGCCCTTCCCTCGCGTCCAGAGGCGGCGTCCGCGTCGCAGGCGGGAGCGCGACGCCGCGGCTGTGGGTGTCGGCGCTGCCGTCCTGTCTGGGCACACGGAGGCCGAGGCGGTGGCGGCGCACGGGGGAGGGCGGGCGGGCGGGCTCCCGGGCACTCTTCCGGCGGGGCCCGGCGAGCGGAGGGGGCCGCAGGCGGCCGAGAGCGAGAGAGTCAGGAGGGGGAAAAACACACAGACACACTTAATCGTCCACTCCCAGGAAAATATGGGAAGTGAGGGGGAAGACAACAACCCAGAAAATATGAGGAAATAGATGGGGGATCTTTATATTTGTGTGTATATTTATTTGTGTGTCCCAGGGCCCCTTAAGAGAGGGAGGGCGGGAGATGGACGGAGCGATCGAGCAAGGGAGGGGCCGCCCCCCCGCCGTGGGGAGGGGCCGCCGCGGGCTGGACGCTAGGAGGCCCACCTGCGGGAGCTATAAGTGCCCGCGCCGGGCGGCCAGGCCGGGCGCGCCGCCCGACCGCGGGCGCGCGTCAAGCGATCGGAAGGGAGGAAGGAAGGGAAGAGGGGAGGGAGCGATGCAGAGAGGGCGTACAGACGTTCATACGCATCCACACACAACCGCACGCACACATGCACGCACACACACACATACATACGCGGAAGTACGTGCATGCATACGCACATGCATACACGTATCGATATATGTTTGTATGCATACATGCATGTATGTAGTGGTGTTTGCGTGTATGTGTGTATGTGTATATGTGTGTGCAAGTGTGTGTAAGCGAGTATGTATGCATGTATGTATGTATGTGTATATATGCGTTTAAATATGTATGTACGCATGCACGTGTGTTGGATTGCATGCGTGTGGGGACGTTCATGCATGCATGCATGTATGTATGAGTGTATGAATGAATTAATGAATGTGACTGTATACACGCTTGTATGCATGATTGGTTAAAAGTACAACGTCGCATGTTTGTATGGATGTATGTATGTCTGTTTGTATTCGTGTATGTATTTTTGTATGTGCATATGCGGTTGCATGTGTGTAAATGCACGCAGGCATGCATGCATGCATGTATGCATTCATGCATGTATGTATGCTTGTTTGTGTATATATACACACATATATATATATATGTACACACAAGACACTTCGGTCCTCCAGGCTTGGCATGCAGGCAGGAAGGCAATAAGATAAGGTTGAACATCTGGCGGCCAATCATTGTTACCTTTTTTGCTAGCATCGTCGTTGTAATCATTTCATCCTTCCCTCATGTTTCGTTTTTCTTGTTTTCATTCTCGCCATATCTTGCGAATGCGCCACCATCAGCAGCGCTTGTTGTGGATGCTCATCGTAGGAGAGCCTCTCGAAAGTCCCACGAAGGTTTTTAGGGATTGTTGGGGCCCTGTGGAAGCCTCCTGAGTTACTTCTGTGGGCACTGAGGGTTTCTCTGGGCCACACTGCTTCCAGCCACGGTCTCCCTGAACGACCCGGGCACAATTTGGAATGATTCGGGAGGCATTGTAGGGCCATCTTGGGCCTTCATGGGGTTCTCTTTGTGCCATCTTGGGGCCCTGTTGGGCCGTCTTGGGGCTCCTCTCGGACTGCCCAGAAGCGCCCTCTTGGTTAAATTTGAGGCGATGCTCCGGCCTCCTGGGCAGTCTCGGGCGCCCAGAAGACTGAAGAATGGAGAATTCCCCAAATCATGCAAAACCATAGGAAATCACAGTTTTTTTGCGTTTCGAAGGCCTCTTGCGTGGCTTCTTTGGGTTTCGGGCGTCTGTTGGGTGCCTGGGGCCTCCGTGGGCTCTTGCGGGGCCGTCAGGCCGCTCTCCTGACCGATTTGGGCCCGTTGCTTAGGCCCAGCAAGGGCTTCAGGAGCGCCGGAAAGCACAGAGGAACGTCTTGAAGAGCGTCCAGAGTGCCCCCGCGGCCAAGGATCCGGAGGGGTCCCGGTTAGGTGGGGTGGGTAACAGGGTCCCACATTATACAGCATATTGGACACGGAATCTATATGTGAAGCTGTATGTATGTATGTATGTATGTATGTATGTATGTATGTATGTATGTGCATGTATGCATGTGTGTCTGTATGTATGTGTGCATGTATGCATGCATGCATGTATGCATGTATGCATGTATGCATGTATGTATGCATGTCTGTATGTATGCATGCATGCATGCATGTATGTATGTGTGTATGTATGTATGTCTGTATGTATATGTATCTATGTATGTGTATGTCTGTATGTGTGTTTGTGTATTACGTGTGTATGTACGCGTGTGTATGTATGTGTGCATGTGTGTATGTATGTGCGTACGCACGTATGGATGGATGGATGGATGGATGGATGGATGGATGGATGGATGGATGGATGTGTGTATGTATATGTATATGTTCACACACACAAACATATTATATGTATCGAGAGAGGAGGGAGTGAATGGGGGAGTGGGAGGAGGAAAAAGAGGAGGAGGAAGATGAAGGGGAAGATGAGGGAGATGATGAGGTGGAGGATGAGGAGGAGGAGGAGGAGGAGGAGGAGGAGGAGGATGGCTGGAGGAAGGAGGTTATGATTGCACGGGGGGCGGAGGTGGATGGGATGGGTACATGATACAAAGAAAGGGGGTCCAAGGTAGAGGAGGAGGATGAGGAGGATGAGGAGGAGGAGGAGGAGGAGGAGGAGCAGGAGGAGCAAGGCTGCGGAGGCGCGGTGAAGGTCTTCCACGCCCTCGTCTCGATCTCGGCGATGATTAGGCGGGGACAGTAGAGCGCAACCCCGGCTTGATGTCGCCAGGAGGAGGAGGAGGAGGAGGAGGAGGAGGAGGAGGAGGAGGAGGAGGAGGAGGAGGAGCAGGAGGCAGAGGAGCAGGAGCAGGAGCAGGAGGAGGAGGCGCAGCATCAGCAGCAGCAGCAGCGGGAGGAGGAGGAGGGCCGAACACAGAGGATAAGAGGATAGAGGGAGAGGAGGAGCTACCGTCCCCCCCGCCGAGGGCGTCGCCGCTGGCGATGGCGCCGCCTCCGCGGCCTGGGCCTGGCTCGTGGTCCGCGCCTGTGCCGCCAGCGGCGCGCGCGCGGGCGGCCGCGCGGTGCCGCCGCGGGAGGCCGCGCTCCTCCTGGCGCGAGGATCGATTATCGAGGCCGAGGTCTTCGTTTCGAGGCCCCAGGTTCTTCCATGGTCCAGATCCGGCGGGAGGGCGGGGGAGGGATGCCCGAGGCGAGGGGATCCGGTGTCGAGGTCGGGGCTCCTGGGGGATCGGGGGTCGAGGGTCGAGGGTCGAGGACGGAGGTCCGAGGCTCGGGGATAGAGGATCGGGGTCGAGGATCTTCGGGGATCGAGGATAGAAAATGGAGGTCGAGATTAGGAGGTATAGGATCGAGGTCGAGGATCTAGAAAACGGGGGAATTGCGCGGCTCACTCGCCAGGGAAGAGGCGTGGAGCCCAGGCATGTGATGCCTTGTGTTTTCCATGCGCGGCCCCTGGAAGAACCTGGCACTTTCCCCAGGGCCGGCTTTTAATCCCGAGTTTGTTCTGCGGCCCCGCGGCCTGGCGAGGGCCCCTCCAGCAGCCGAAAACCACGAGCGGCCTCCGTCTTGGATCTTGCCCTGGCGTTGCACGTCGGGGACGGTGGGCCGCGATTTGCGCCTTGGACCACTCGATTGCGTCGACTGGTTCCATGGTCCGTTCGTCTCCGCTGGCTGCGTCGTGAGTGCGAACTTGCTCCCAGACACATCCTGATGGTCTACACCTTAGGCGATGCTTAAGAAAACCTAAGTTTTCGGCCAGAGTCTCGATTATTCTTAATGCTTCAATGTAAATCCCAAGATTTGAATAGACATTCTGGGTTTTCATTCAGATTCTGAGACTATGAATTTCTTAACCCTTGATTTCTAAAGCATTTCGCAGGGTGTACACGATCTGCGGGTTCTCTGGCTGTCCCGCGGCCTCCTCGCCTCCTCGCCCCACGCAGGCGCCTGCGCCCTTCGGCCTCCCTTCGCAGCAGGTGCGCCCCGCCGTGTGTTTGGTCGCCTGTTGGGCCCAGCGCGCCGCCCACGAACAGACCTCTGCCAGCAGGGTCAGGAGGGGAGAACACACCGACACACAAATAATCGTCGATTCTCTAGAACACATCTGAAACATTGAACATATGGGAAGACCAAAAACAGTGAACTGGGGGGAAGGTCGTGGAACCATGGGGAAGCTTCGTCCCCTTAGAACTTGAGAAAAGACGAGAATCTACAACAGATTTGGGGGATCGGGGGATTTTTGTGCCCACTCCTTTGCGTGCCCCTGCTGGGCCCCTTGAGTCTGGCAGGAGAGGAGGAGGAGGGGGAGGAGGAGGAGGAGGAGGAGGAGGAGGAGAAGCAGGAGGAGGAGGGGGAGGAGGAGGAGGAGGAGGGGGATGTGAGGAGGAGGAGGAGGAGGAGGAGGAGGCGGAGCCGGACAAGAGGAGGAGGAGGAGGAGGAGGAGGAGGAGGAGGAGAGGAGGAGCAGGAAGGAACCCTCTCTTCTCTCCCCTTGCGGGGATCCGCGGGCCGCGAGGGCAAGGCCTCCGCGGCCTGGGCCTGGCTCGTGGTCCGCGCCGGCGCCGCCCGCGGCGCCCGCATCGGCCGCCGCGCGGTGCCGCTGCGGGAGGCCCAGGGCCTCCTTGGCGGGACCATCGAGGATTTTTCGAAGGAGGAGGAGGAGGAGGAGGGGGAGGAGGAGGAGGAGGGGGAGGAGGAGGAGGAGGGGAGGAGGAGGAGGAGGAGGGAGGAGGAGAGGAGGAGGAGGAGGAGGAGGAGGAGGAGGAGGAGGAGGAGGAGGAGGAGGAGGATAGGATAGGATAGGACCGATCGCGAAGCGAAGTAACGACACCTAGCCACACTACGACACGAGCAACGACGGCGGCGGCGGGGGCGGGGGCGGCGGTCCTTGAAGTTGAGGTACGGGCGCGCGGGCGCGTGGGTCGCGCCGCGCGCCGCTCCCCTCCTTCCCGCCGACCCCCTCCCTGTCCCCCCGACGACAGCCATCAAGCTCGGTCCCGAGACAAGGCTACTGTGATATAGTGTTCGCCCGATGGGCCTCGGGAGAGCTCAGGGTGAACACTCG